TTTTGGTACCAGGAGTGCTTCTAGAGAAATAAAATCATAAATATGGGCTTCTTAAATTGGCTCTCCAGCCTGATTAGTCTTAACAGCACTAATAATTCTGTTTCAATGCCCCAAAGCATGGATAAGTCTGCTACTCTTACTAATCCCTAGTGTGAAATAGCAAAACTAATACCTACAGTAGCACCACCAATAGATGTGATGCTTGTTAATGGAGAGGCTCTGAATGATATATCTGATATTTTCCAGGAGTTTTGTCAGGATGCCAAGTATAGGGAAGCTGGGTGGCTGGTCCTTCTTACAATGGAAAGTGTGATTAAGGAGAGGGATGGTCTTAGAGCCTCAGAAGTATCGTTGCATGTGGAGACAAATGGATTTGAACTCTTCCGTCGGTGCTATACAGGTGAGCCTTCTCTCCTCTAGTAATAGAGCTGATATTGCCGGGAACCAGGTCCAGAGTCTCGTTATACGAGTGGCTGAATTACATCATCAGCTGAATTGCAGATCTAGAGCAGTGTCTGATCCCAAAGTGAGGGCATTGATCAGAAAAAGTTGGGACCCTGAAATGTGCGATGGGAACATACGGGCTGATAATCCAGAAGAGGAGGACTTTGTGAATTGGTGGCAGACATATGGGTTACTGGGTTAATGTTGTGGGTTTGGGCATCACTGGCTTGGAATGCCTTCTTGATGTGCACTTACCCTTTATATAAAACTTTCTCTTATCTATCAGTTTCTGTGGGTTTGTTTCGCTAATGTACCCAGACTAATATATTATGGTACCTTGGGCGTGGGGTACTGGAGAAACAAATCATGAGATGGAGAGCAGATGTTTGTTTGACCTCTCCCTCATGGTAGTTCTTCTTTGTCAAGCCAGAGGTCAGATAAAACCACACTTTACTCGGTAGTTTTCTGGTAAAAAATATGGGAAGTGGGTAAATAGAACGTTTGTAAGCCCACTTGCTTTCAGCCATCAAAATTTGATCTTTAGGTGGGCTTAGGCCATCCCTGTGAAGAAAACTTTGGAAAGATATGCCCCACCCAGTGCTTTGGAGTACTCAGGAAACAGTAGTCTTTTTCAGGAACTGGAAAAAATCTCAAACCATGAAGAAAACTCCTCTCTGGGACTGAATTTTAAAGGGAGTCTGAGAGCAGGTTAAAATGCTTGCTAGGTGACCACCTGGATCTACTTGTTGAATGGAAGTGGGAGAAATGCAGCAATGAAGAGAAGGGTTGAGTTTGGCCACTGACACCTGTGGACTTGGTTTACAGGAAAAAGAGGAGAAGATGAAAGTGGGTTGACTGGTCTAAAGTTCATGACCTAGCACGAGGGGGCTAAGCTTGTTGAGTATTTGTGAGACCCCGTGGTCTAAAGGCAAGGTGACCAAGGGGCACCCTGAGGAGGCTGAGTGAGGCAGCCCACATTGAGTTGACCAGGACCGGAAGAGATGGAGATTTTTGAGCCTGTGAACTGGTGCATATTGTTGATGACTTTATGAATGACCTGTGCGGGTTTGATTTTGCTTATGGATGCAGACTTCACAAGGCTCCCACTGGAATGAAGACTCTTTATGTAAAAAAATATGATTGTCTTCTCAGAGAACTGGATGGATGTAAGTGTGCAGTATATAATTTGGGTACTAAAAAATGGGGGGATAAAGGCATGAAGTGGTTGGCTCACAAACATTCATAGTTGGGGGAATATATTCACAGGATTATAGTATTAAGGTGTAGGAGTTACTTAATTGCAATCGCGAAGCTAAAGAATTATGTACTGGTGCCAGGTTGGCAAGGGGTGGATTGAGGTAGTTAGTTTATTATGCCAACCTGGCCAATAAACACATGTGGGGTTTATTGAAGGGTGTAGGGATAACTGACTTGGTGAGCCTCAGCTTTTGAGTTCTCAGGTCTCTTGCTTTCTGATGGTAGACCAGGGTGCAGCTGCTTTAGCCAGTTCCTTGCTTTAGCTGGCAAGGCTCACTTCCTGCAAGACATCCCTGAGAAGAAGCCACATGGACCTACCCCGATGCAACCCTGGGTGCTGGAGCACCGTTTGGAGACCACTGTCAGTGCTGAGATATTTACACATTCACTGACTTGGCTTTCCTTCTGCAGTCAGCATCATTGCATCTGTTTTTTGAGATGGAGGAGGCCTTTGTGGATTGGTGTTGGACATATGGGTTAATGGGTTTATGTTGAACTTGTGGGCTTGGGCAGCACTGGGTTGGGATGTTTTCTTGATGTGAACTTACCCTTTATATAAAACTCTCTCTTATATATGAGTTTCTGTCGATTTGTTTCTCTAATGTACCCAGACTAATACATGATTTACCTATGGTGGCCAATACCTTGCATGTCTAGCATTTTTCCTTGTCTCTTCTCCTGAGTGGGAGTCTTGTTCTCTGTCCCTATTGTAAAAGGTAGCATTGGCAACAGTTAAACATCTTTGGTCTTTGGTACATTTGGAACAATGGACTGTACTGTTTCTAAGAGGTAAAATGCCTGAACATAAGGGATTTCTGCTCACTTCCCCATCCTTTACACAAGTTAGGTTCCGGCTGTATGAAGGAGGGAGAGAAAGTGTCCTCTGCTCAGCCAGGATTCCCCATCATTAGAATGCACTGGGTTAGCAGGGGTTACAGAAGAACTCACTCTAGTTTCTGCGTTGTCAGCATCTGTGGGTCAAATCTAGACCAACAGACAGGGTGCAGGACAAAACTGTCCCCTCTGGGAATGGATTCCTGATTTCCCACCTAGAAAACAAAAGGGTTAGACTGCTTAGTGCCCCGGGGTTCTTAAGCATATGTTCCAGAAAACCATGGAAATTCATTAAAAAGACTGCCTCATTAGATGAGGAAATATTTTGGGGACCCTTTCCTTTGTGTAGACAAAAAGCAAGAATTACAATCTTCCTCACCTCAAGTGTCAGCACCACGTATAAAGCGCCTATTGCATTCAACAAAGGAAATACAAAGTGGCCCACATGTGCAATACTGCTTTTACACCACCAAGTGCTAGTTGGGACCTAGCATGTCAGTACCCCAACACAAGTTATGGCAGGAGAGATGGCTGTTCAGGGCTCTACTTTTTCAGAAGAAATAATTTTGGGGCAAAGGCAAACTGAAAGACAAACAGATTTGAAAACCTGTTGAAAGAAATCATCATCTACTACAGACCAACAAATGCTTCTCTATTACAGCTGCTTTCATGTCAGAAGTCCTGGGCGCGGGGTTGGGGCGGGGGGATAGTAACAGCAGAGATCAAACCCACTCCATGGAGGAGTCCTCTTTCATTCATTGTGACTCTAGAAAAAGGAGAGGACTGCTCCCACTGACCGAGCAGACTGTAACTCTATCAGATGATATAGCTTGGCCTTTCTCCTGTGGAGTGACTGGTATTTTCAAACTGTCAACCTTGCTGTTAGCAGCCCAACTCATGAGCACTGGATAGAAAAGGATGAAAAGTTAAACAATCCCCCAAACAAGTCAACAATAGAAGAGGAGAGTACGACTCTTATCATCCTAATGGATAACCTACCAGTAAGCAACTCAGAATTGTTTAAATACATTGTAAATTATTTTATTTCTCTAAGTTTGTCTACTATTGTGTAAACAAAATAGAGAAAACCAGACGACAATTTTGTTGTCATTGCTAAGATACAAAAAGAAAGTTAACTTTTAAAATATGAACTCTGGGTGATCAATACATTGTCATTTAGTTGACCGTATTTTCCTCGGTAAAACCAATCTTCTGGAAGTGAGCTACTCCATTTGTAACTAGGTTCAATTTATTTGTTAATGAATGTATATTTTATTCTCCATGGTTTCAATATTAATTTTAGAAGAGGTTATTTGGCATAATCAACATAATATATAATTCAGTCAATCACAGCAAGAAAATGTGTACAATCAGTAACACAATCAATTCATGAACCTTTTCCTCTTCTTGTAGTCCTGAATTTGAACCCCCCTATGCTCAGACAATTTCCACAGCGATCCCCAAGGAATTAATAATCTAGTTACAGCATCTGTAGATTTAATGATCCTGATGTCACACACCGAAATACATACAAAAATAGAACACAAGGAAAACAAACATCCTAACAACAATAACACAATTAAATAGAGAGAATCTGTAATCACAAAAAGACAGAGGGTAGTCTAGAACTAGACTAGAACTAGAACTAGAACAACTTTCAAAATTGTCAAAGGGAGGACAAATGACAAGGTGTCGGATAGTAGCCTAGTCTGATCTGCGAGAATCCACTCCCCAATGCACGCTGTGAGATAGCAAGGCTGTTTCCCTCCTTGCTCTGTGTGCAGAGGGGATCCACCAAGTGTTTAATCCAGGATTATAAACGCCTCATTTTTTCCCCTGCAGTTAAACTTAGATAATATTAAATTGGTCCAAAAGGCGATAAAATAAGATGGTATGTTTTCACCTAATTAGATATAGTGTAATGATCGTTACACTAGTTTTTATCACATAACAAAGCCATTTCTATCCCTCTCCTATAGTCAGATATGATTCCGCAGAGGTTTAATACAGGTGAGAAGGTTAGCCTTTACTTGTTGGTTGAGACTGTCATCCATAGCCTTCTACAAAGCAGATATTCAGCATGAAAGCTCTGAGACCAATCCCTCCTCCAGATTTGTATTATATCATTTAGAATCCTTGGATTCCACTGGAAGATGTATTTCTTCCTTATTGCCTTGGTTGACTCTTCATCAGAGTTATGGGATCTTTTAGAGACTTGTTATTTAGGAAAACAAAGCAAACAATGTAGACACTTCATTCCTCACAAAACAACAAAACCCATGACTGAAGTAGTATCAAACCTTGACTATGAGTGTGTGAATCCAATGGAATGTTGGTCTTTTGCTTAAAGAAAAGGAAGGGCTCCCACCAGATTTAACTGAATTGCTTGAAATTCTGTTATTCCCCTTGAAGATGACTTCTATTTGTTTTTCTGACATACTTTTGCTCTCTTTGTTATTTTGCAGGTTCAAGGAGCGCAGAGATCAGTGAGTGCATTATTTTCATCCATATGAAGAGGGAGTAATAAAAGGGCGACACTCCTAGAAGACTGTAGGGTATTTCCATAACCACCTTCAGATATTGCAGTCTACCATGGCCTACCTCTTAGTAATTTAGTGACATCAAACCTTTTGGGCTAAAGGGTTTATTTTGTATTTTAGTACATTTGCATCTGTTAATCAACGTAAAAAAAGAGAAAGAAAGTTACATTTCTTGCTAACTTTGAAGGTAAAAATGTATAAATGAAGCATCATGATTCCAAGTTTTCATGAACACAAGAGACTTGTTACTGATGCAGTAAAATTGCTTCTACTTACAATTCAATCTATTTAAACTTAACTTCCCTGAAGCTAGAAATATTTGTTTTTACTTGGCTTTTAAGATTAGCTACACCTAACAATTCACGTAACTGTGGTATCTAAATAGAGAAGTGCTTCCAGCCTGTGTGATCATGAGGTGACTACAGGAAGAGGTAGCACAAGTCCAAAAACACAGGACCAAATTTATGTAAAGGGGTTTAGATGTAGTGGAGACCTAAAACTCATCTGCAAGATGATTGGGCAGTCCCTGTCAGAAGGCGACATGGAATGGATGATAAATTCAGTGTGCAGTATCATCCTGATGAACTACATAACTAATCTCTAGTTCATCAATATTTATTCTCCTTGCTCTCATGGTGTTTACTTGTTTTACTTCCTTAATTAAGTTAGATTTTCATATGTCCATTTGTATATTTAATATTATGCAGTACATGAAAACAAGATAGATAACCCTCCAGAAATAGTTACAGGAGTCATGGTTCCTTGAGGGTGTGGTAATGGAGAGGGTGGGAAAATGGGGGAATGAGGCACTGATAACACTGATCATTGTACAATCTCACACCCTGGGATTGAACAGCAGACTTGACTGTGAATGGATATATTGGGCTGTGAAAGATAATTCAAAAAAATATTGCTTAACAAATAAAATAGAGAAGTGCTTTATAAATAGAATAGTTTTCTTTTCACATAGGTTAATATTACAGCCAGATTCACTATGCCTGCATCCTGAACTCATTACACAATGGGGTTTATAATTTACAAATAAACCAAACATTGTGATGTTGACAGTGCAAAGGAAAAAAACATACACATATTTTTAAGAATTTGAAGATATGGTTTTAGAGTACAACATGCCACCCCTCTACCCACTCCGGAAGCTGAAGCTACAGTTCTTCATGCAACAACAATACAACCATCAAAGTAGTATCAGACCTTGAGTATGAGGGTGTGAATCCAGTGGAACCTTGGTCTGATGGTTAAAGGAAATGAAAGGACACAGACACTTACATCTGAATTACTTGAGTTTCTCATCTTCCCATTGATAATTAATTCTATTTGTTTTTCTAATATACTTTTGCTCTCTCTGTTATTTTGCAGATTCACTGAAAGAGGATAATTGTGAGTGCATTATTTTCACCCATATGAAAAAAAAAAAGAGTAATAAAAGAGAAACCCTCCTAAAAGACTGTAGAGGGTATCTATCAGTACCTTGGTATTTTGTAGTCTATGAAAGCCTACCTCTCATAGTTGAGTTTCATTGAACCTCTTTGAGTCAATTGGACAGGTAATTTTGTATTTTAATTAAATTGCATCTGTTAAAATGAGTCAAAGGCAAGAAAGAATGATGCACTTCTTGTGAATTTTGAAGGTAAAATGTCTACATGAAGTATCAAGATTCCTAGTTTTTATAAATAAGGGAATTTTTATCATGAAGTAAAATATTTTTTGTCTTCTAACTTAATCTGTTTAAACTTAACTTACTTGAAGCTAGCAGTATTTGCTTTTACTTGGTGGGTAAGATGAGCTGCATCTAATAATGCACATAACTGTGGCATCTAAATATAGAAGTGCTTTTTGAAAATAAATAGAGTTGTTTTCTCTTTTCAAATAGGAGAATATTGCAGTCAGGTTCATTTTTTCTGTATCCTGAACTTATTTCACTATGGGCTTTAAAATTTAAAAATAAACTGAGCATTGTGATTTTGACATTACAACAGGAAAGCACAAATTTTTAAGACAGATAAAAATTCACAAAATAGAGTAGCTCATTAGAAAAGAAAATAATTTTGGTAATACTTTTTTGGACTAGCCAAACAGCAAGAAGGAATGTAGTCCCCATCTCCAGGGTCAAGGATACCCTGAAAAGAACGTAGTTTATTATATATAGGAAAAATTCTAAAGGGTACACTGTACTACAGGCACATCCTGCTTTCCCTACACGGTGTTTTAGTGGGGCCATGGCATGTCAGTATCCCAACACCATAAGCAGAAGAGACTGCTATAAAGGGCACCACTGCTCCTTGAGAATTATTTCGATCGTGAGGGAAAATTTAAAGAGGTAAAACAAACACCATGGTTTTTGGTTTTTTTTAAGGAAAATATCATCCCTGCAGGTCAACAGTCCTTCTATTTTACAGCTGATTTCATATCAGAAAGCATGGAGGAACGTGACAGAGATGAACAATACCACTAAAGTGGTAACAGCCCCGTGGCCCTGGGGAACACCGTGGAACTGCTTCTGTTGGTTCAGCAGACGGTCACGACGCACAGGACGAGAAAGCCTTACCTTCCTGCTGTGGAGTGGCTGGTATTTCCACACTGTTGACCTTGCTGTTTGCAGCCCAACTCGAGTCAGCTGGCTAGAAGAGGAAGAAAAGTTAAACGATCCTCCCTATTGCTTAACTATAGGAGAGGAGAATATGACCCTTATCTTCATCCTAATGAACAACCTGCGTATAAACAACTCAGAGTGGTTTAAATGAATTGTAAATTACATTATTTCTCTAAGTTCACCTAATGTTTTGTAAAGAAAATAAAGGAAGTCAGACGACAATTTCATTGTTGTTCCTAACAGTACAAAAAGAAAAAGCTCAATTTTTAAATGTGAACTCTGGGTGATCACTACCCTGCCATCTAGTTGAGTTGACCAACTTTTCCTTGACAAAACTAGTCTATTTGGAAGTGGGCTAATCCATTTGTAACGGGGTTCAATTTATTTGTAAATGAATTTATATATTATTCTCCATGCTTTCAACATTAATTTTTAAAAGAAGTTATTGGGTATCATCCACATTTCCTATAATTCAATCAAGCAATCACAGCAAGAAAGTTTGTACAATCAGTACCACAATCAGTGTCTGAATACTGTGTTCTTCCTTGTAGTCCTGATTCTCAGCTCACCATCCTCTGCCACTGTGCACTGCCAGACGCCACGGAGACAGCAATCTGATGACTCTGTGTATAGATTTAATGATAGTGGACGTCAAATACTGGATTACATACAAAAATGGGACACAGAGAAATAAAAATATCAACAGCAATAACAAAATTATATAGAATGTTTAAACAAAGGAGGGAAAAGACAAAGAACTAGAACAAGTTTCAAAAGGGTCAAAGGGGCGTTCACCTTATAATGTGCGGAATTGTAACCTAGCAAAATCTGTTAGGATCCACTCTGCACTGTAGACTGAGAGAGCAGGGCTGTTCTCCTCCTTGGTCTGTGTTCAGAGGGGATGCAGCAATTGCTTAATCCAGGACTATTACCCCCTCGCTGTTCTTATTCCAGTTCAACTTATATAACCTTTAAATAATTCAAATGGGCGATCAAATAAGATATTGCATTTCCGCCAAACTAGTTATACTCTAAGGTTCTCTCCAATAGTTTCTTTCTGATAACAAACCTATTTAGATCCATCCACTATGGCCAGAGCTTATTCCTCAGAGGCTTAATACAGGTGTGAAGCTTACCCTGGACTTGTTGGCTGAGAATGTCATCCCCAGCCTTCTGCAAAATGGGTGTGCAGAATGAAAACTCTGGTAACATTTCCTAGTCCAGATTTACATCACGTTATTTACAGTCTTTGCATTATATGGGAGGGAGGGTTTCTTCCATGTGGAGTCATTGGATGCCCCTTTTGCATGCTCGGATATTTTAAAGGACTTGTTTTTGACGAAAATGAAACAAGGGAAAGTAGGCAGTTTATTCTTCACACAACTGGACAACCATGAGTGAAGTACTTCAGGCCATGAGGATAAGTTAGTGATTGCAATGGAATGTTGGACTTATGGTTGAAGGAAAGGAAGGGGTGCTCCCACATTTGCCTGAGTGAAGTGCATTTCTGTATGCCCTTTGAAAATTCTATTTGCTTTTCTGATATGTGTTTGCTGTTTCTGTTCTTTTGCAGATTCAATGAAAAGAGATAAGAGTGAGTGTATTATTTTCTTCCATATGACAAGAGAGGAATTATAGGGCAACACTCCTAGAAGACCATAGAGGATATCTTTCCGTACCTTTGATTGTGTAGTGTACAATAGTCTACCTCTCAGTATTTGAGTGTCATTGATCCCCTCGTGTTGACTGGAGAGTTAATTTTGTATTTGAGTTCCTTTGCAGTTTTAATGCAAGTAAAAGTATAGAAAAAGAGAAGCATTTCCTACTAAGATTGAAGGTAAAATGTACAAATCAATGATAGTCTTTATGGATACCAGGAATTTGTTACCCATGCATTAAAATGGTTTGTTTTCTTCTAACGTAATCTGCTTTAACTTAACTTACTTGAAGTTTGAAATATTTGCTTTTACTTGGCAGGTAAGATTAGACACATCTACTAATTCACATAACTGTGATATCCAAATTGAGAAGTGTTTTAAGAAATAAATGGAATTGTTTCCTCATTTCAAATAGGTGAATATTACCATCATGTTCACTATGTTGCTTACTGAATTTCTTACAGTTCGGTGTGTATATACAGTAAACCAAACATTGTGATGCTGACATTTCAAAGAAGAAAATATTTAAGAATGATGAAAATCGATAAGAACACTGGCTCATTAGAAGAGGGAATATTTTTGTCATCCTTTCCTTCATGTAGGCAAAAAATAAGAATTCAAGTCATCCTCAAGTGTCAGCAATACCTATAAAATGCCTAATGGATTCAACAAAAGAAATAAAGTGGCGCACATATGCTTACTACTTGTACTCCACCAAGTGCTAGTCGGGATATAGAATGTCAGTACCCCAATGCAAGTTATAGCAGGAGAGACGGCTATACAGGGCTCTGCTTTTTCAAAAGGATTGCTTTGGGGCAAAGGCAAACTGAAAGAGAAAGTGACCTGAAAACCTGTTGAAAGAAAATATCATCTCCTACAGGCCAACAAAAGGTCAGAAAAAATTAGTCACAGCACAGATCTATCAAACAATTGTCTCAGCCAAACTCACTCCAAGGAGTCCTCTCTTACTCATCGTGACCCTAGGAAAAAGGAGAGGACTGCTCCCACTGACCGAGCAGACTGTCACTCTCTATCGGAGGAGAAAGCTTGGACTTTCTCCTGTGGAGTGACTGGTATTTTCAAACTGTCGACAACCTTGCTGTTAGCAGCCCAACTCATGAGCACTGGATAGAAAAGGATGAAAAGTTAAACAATCCCCCAAAGCAGTCAGCAAAAGGAGAGGAGAGTATGACTCTTCTCTTCATGAATAAGGTGCTAATGAACAACTCAGAGTGGTTTAACTGCATTGTAAATTACTTTCTTTCTCTAAAGTCGCCTAAGTTTGTAAATAAAATAAAGCTTGAAGACAATTTTACTGCTCTTGCTAACATATGAAAAGAAAGAACTTTAATTTAAAATATGAACTCTGGGTGGTCCCTATATTGCCATTTAGTTGACCATATTTTCCTCAGTAAAACTAATCTTTTAGAAGTGAGCTACTCCATTTGTAATAAGGTTCAATTTATTTATAAATGAATTTACATATTATTCTCCATGCTTTCAATATTAATTTTTAAAAGAGGTTATTGGGTATAATCCACATATCATATAATTCAATCAATCACTCACAGCAAGAAAGGTTGTACAATCAGTAACATCGTCAATTCTTGAACTATTTCCTCTTTCTTGTAGTCCTGAATTTGAACATCCCATGCTCAGACAATTTCCACGGCGATACCCAAGAAATCCATAATCTGGTTACACTGTGTCTAGATTGAATGATCTTGGATGTCATATACCAAAATACATACAAAAAATGGACACAAAGTAACAAAAACCTTAACAACAATAGCAAAATTAGAGAGGCTCTTTAATTGAAAAGAAAGCAGAAGATATTAAGAACTAGACAACTTTCAAAAGTGTCAAAGGGCGGTCTAATGAGAAGGTGTTCACTTTTAACCTGGCAAGTTCTGCGAGAATCCACTCCCAATGCGCACTGTGAGATAGCAAGGCTTTTTCTCTTCTTGGTCTACGTTCAGAGGGGATCCACCAAGCGCTCGATCCAGGAGTATACGCTGCTCATTTTTTCCCGAAGTTAAATTTACATAACATTAAATGGGTCCAAAAGTTGATGATATAAGGTGCTACAGTTTCACTTAATTAGATATACTGTAATGATCTTTACACTAGTTTTTATCACATAACAAAGCTATTTCTATCCCTCCACTTGAGTCAGACATTATTCCTCAAAGGTTAATGCAGGTTAAAATGTTAGGCAATACCAAGTTGAGGGCTGAGACTGTCTTCTATAGCCTTCAACACAAGTAGGCTCCCACCAGATTTAACTATATTACTTGAAATTCTGTTATTCCCCTTGAAGATGACTTCTATTTGTTTTTCTGACATACTTTTGCTCTCTTTGTTATATTTTGCAGGTTCACTGAAAGAAGAGAACCGTGAGTGCATTATTTTCATCCATATGAAGAGGGAGTAATAAAAGGGCGACACTCCTGGAAGACTGTAGGGTATTTCCATAACCACCTTCAGATATTGCAGTCTACCATGGCCGACCTCTTAGTAATTTAGTGACATCAAACTCTTGGGCTGACTAAGGGGGTTAGTTTGTATTTTAGTACATTTAGCACATTAATCAAAGTAAAAAAAGAGAAAAAATTTGCATTTCTTGCTAACTTTGAAGGTAAAAATATATACATGAAGGATCATGATTCCTAATCTTTTTGAATACAAGAGACTTGTTACTCATGCAGTGAAATTGTTTTTCCTTCTGATCTAATTTATTTAAACTTAACTTCCCTGAAGCTAGAAATATTTGTTTTTACTTGGTTCATAAGATTAGCTGCATTTAACAATTCACATAACTGTGATTTCTAAATAGATATCTAAATACAGAAGAGCTTACAGCCTGTGTGAACATGTGTTCTTGCATTGAGGGAGTACTTGAGTGGAGGCCTAATGTGTGTCTGCTACCTTAATACTAAACCTATAAATATATGCGCATAAATCTATTGCCCATCATATACAAATATATTTACATATGTACATGCCTGTATTTAGACTTCTATAAATGCCCTTTGCCTCCTACTTCTTTCCTCTGTTTCCTTTTACTGTCCTCTTGTCCCTCTATCATGCTCAGCCTTCATTTGGGTTTCAGAAATTTCTTTCAGCTGCATTGCCCTTGATCAGTCCCTATCAGGTATCTTACACCCTCCTCCTCCCTGAATTTGGACCACTTGTTCCCTTGTCCCTGGGTTGGTTAACACCACTTCCTTTCCCCCACTTCCCCTTCTCCTCTCAGAACCATCAGTCCTGTTGTTTTCTTTTCCAGTTTGTTTATTCAGCCTATCTTATCTAGATAGACCTGCAGAGATAATAATATGCACATAAATACAAGACAGAGCAAAACAAACCAACAGAAGGAAACAAAACAAAGGCAACAGCAAAAGAACCAATGCCAAAAAGAAGAGAGAGAAAAGCCTGTAAATAGTTCGAGGTCTGTTTGTTGACCTTTAGGAGTGTTTTCTGGTTGAGTCTGATTCCTTCCTTGGTGGTCCAAATGGTTTGTGGTTTTACTTCTAGGTCTGTGATCCACCTTGAGTTTGTTCTTGTGCATGGGGTGAGGCAAACATCTTGTTTCATTTCTATATGTGGATAACTATTGTTTCCAGCACCACTTGTTAAAAATGGCACCCACTTCTCAAGTGAATGTTTTGGGAGCCTTATCAAAGATCAGTTGTCTGTATGCTGATGGTTTTACTTCTGGGCTTTCTATTCTTTTCCACTGGTCTGAGTATCTGTCATTGTGCCAGTACCACACTGTTTTGACCACTGTAGCTGTGTAGTAAGTATTAAAATCAAGTAAAGAGAATCCTTCGACTTTGTCCTTCTTTTTGACGAATTCTCTGCCAATTTTGGGCTTCTTCCCTCTCCATGTGAAATTGGTGGTCAGTTTTTGCAATTCTTTGAAGGAGGTTTTTAGTATTTGAATTGGAATAGTATTAAAATATAAAGTGCTTTGGGTAAGATTGACATCTTGACTATGTTGAGCCTTCCAATTCATGAGCGTGGGATATTCTTCCATTTGTCCATTTGTGGAGGTCGTTTTTGGTTTCCTGTAATAGGGTCTTTTAGTTTTCCCTGTATAGGTCTTCACTATTGTTTGTTTTCTATATATTCCTATGTATTTCAGTTTGTTCTTGGATACTGTGAAGGGTATTACCTTCTCGATCTCCTCTTCCATGGTCCTGTCCAATGTGTATAGCAAACCTACCGCCTTCTGTTTGTTGATCTTGTATCCTGCCACTTTTCCATATTCCTCTATCGCTGTAAGTACTCCTGTTGTGGAGCTTTAGGGGTTTTCAATGTACAGGTTCGGTTCATGTCATCTGCAAATAGCGATAGTTTCACCTTCTCTTCTACCAGTTGGATCCCCTCGATGTCCTTCCATTGTTTTATGTTGTTAACTAGAACCTCCAGCACAATATTGAATAGAAGTGGGGACAAGTGACATCCTTGTCTTGTACCTTTTTTCAGAGGGATTATTTTTGTCTTTTCTCCATTAAGTATAATGTTGGCTGTTGGCTTTATAGATGGCTTGTATTATCATGAGGAATTTACCTTCCATTCCTATCTTCATGAGTGTCTTAATTAGCAATGGATGTTGGACGCTGTCAAATGCTTTTTCTGCATCTATGGATATTATCATATAGTTTTATCCTTTTTCTTAGAGATGTGGTGTACAATATTGATGGATTTTCAGATGTTGAACCATCACTGCCTCCCAGGGATGAATCATACCTGGTCGTGGTGGATGATATGCTTTATATACTTTTATATTCTATTGGCCAATATTTTGTTAAGAATTTTTGCATTTATGTTCATTAGAGATATAGGTCTGTAGTACTTTATACCTGTGGGGTCTTTGCCCTGTTTGGATATCAAACTTATACTGGCTTTGTTGAATGAGCTTAGGAGTTTGCCACCCTTTTTTATGCTTTGAAATGCTTTGTGGAGGATAGGAGTCTACTCTTCCCTGAATGCTCGGTAGAATTCCGCTGTGAAGTCTTCTGGCCCGGGAGCTTTTTTGTTGGTAGCTTCCTGATGACCCTCTCTATTTCTTCTTTCACTAACGGTTTGTTGAGTTTCTGGACCTCTGTCTGCGATAATCTATGGCGGGAATGTTTTTCCAAGTATCTATCCATGTCTTCTATGTTTCTGAATTCATTAGAATACAGACCTTCATAGTATTTTGTGATTATCCTTTTAACCTCATTAGGGTTTGTGTAATTACATCTGTTCCATCCCTCATCCAAGCTTTTGATGTTTGGTCCTTCCTTCCATTGGTTAGATTCACCACCGGTCTGTCAATTCTGTTGATTCTCTCAGAGAACCAGCTTTGTGATGCATTTTTTATCTTTTGCATCATTCTCTTGTCTTCCCACTGGTTTAAAAATGCCCTGATTTTTAAAATTTATTTCCTTTTGCTATTGGAGGGGTTGTCCTGTTGACTCTGTTTTGTGTTAGCATATGTGTCATAAGCCTCTCTTATTTTTTCATATCCGTTTATTGATATCCATTTATTGATATCAAGCTATCTCTACTAACTGCCTTCACAATATCCCATAAGTTTTGATACGTTGTATTCTCATTCTCCTTAGTTTCTAGAAACATCCTAGCATACTCTTTAATATGGGCCTGTACCCATTCATGTTGCAGGAGATCGTTGTTCATCCGCCAATTGATTATGCTTGCTTTTCTGGCCATCCTTTAATTAATCTGCCACTTTATGGCATGGTGATCCGAGAAAGACATCTGAATACTCTCTATGTGTTTGGATTTACGCAGGCTTGACTTGTGACCCAGCGTGTGGTGTATTCTTGAAAATGAGCCATGTGGGATTGAGAAGAATGTGAATTTCTTTATGTTAGGATGGAAAGCTCGATACATGTCTATGGGCCCAGTTGCCTAATTACATTGTTTAGCTCTATAGCTTCTTTGCTCAGATTCTTTCCCAGATATTTATTTGTCTTTCTCTGATAGTGGAGTATTAAATTCAGCTCCTATGATCGTTGAATCTGTCATTCCTTTTTTCATTTGTTTAATTTTTTTTGACGAAATTTACCGCTCCATTGTTGGGCGCAAAAACATTCAATATGTTAACTGGTTCTTGGTTTACTGAACCTTTGAGCATTATATAGTGTCCTTTCTATTTTTATGCTTTGATCTTTGAGGTCCATTTTGTCGGAAAATAAGGTTTCCACCCCTACTATTTTTAAGTTGCCGTTTACCAGGTATACTTTCCACCAGCCTTTTATTCTTAGCTTATTTTTTTTGTGTACTTAAGATGCGTCTCAGGCAACAGATTGAGGGATATGTTTTCTGAGCCAGCCCTCCAGCCTTTTTTTTAAATGTATGAACTAAGTCCATTGGATTTCAGCTATCACCACAATCTGTGCATTCATTGATGTCACACCATTTTTTGTGTTTTGGGTGTTTTCCATTCTTCCTTCAGATCAGTGTGCTGTGTTTGTGTAGGGAGTTTCTATCTTGTCTTCTCTTCCCTCTGAGGCCCTGTTACCTTGTAATTGTTGTTGTGATGTTGGCTTCTGGATGGAGACAGCTTATATGGTGCTCTCATGGTTGTGCTGTGTGGAGGTTGATCCTCTGTCCATAGTGATTCAGCCAGTGTCTTCTGTAGGGCCGGTGTCTTGAAGCATATTCTTTGAGTCTTTCCTTGTCCTGGACGACCCATATCTCCCCATCTATCTTAATGGATAATTAGCCAGGGTAAAGGATTCTTTGGGAGGTGTTTTTCTTTTCAGATTTTATAAATTGTTGCTCCACTCTCTCCACCTCTTCATAGTGTCTGCTGATAGAGTGAGCTTTTCTTTCCAGAGTTCTGTTGTATGTGACTGTCTTCCTTTCTCTTTCTACTCTGAAAATTTTCTCTTTTTTCTCAAAGATGGATATTTTTACTATTATTTGTCTTGGTGAGTTCTTCTTGGGGTTCAGTCAAGTTGGTGGCCTTTCTTCATCCTGTATGAGTGCCTGGTCTTCATTCAGTAAGGTGGTAAAGTTTTCTTCCAGAAATTCCCTCGCTATCTTCTCTGTTGACTTGTGTGGTGTGTTCTGCTCCGGTAGACCAGTTATTTGAATATTATTCCTCTTCATTGCATCTGTCATTGATCTGAGGTTATCTTCTGCTCCTTTAATTTTCCTATTTGACGGTTTTTCTCACTTGCTGAGGTCTGTTTGAGTGACTTCCAGATCACTGATATGGTTCTCTGCCTCCTCAAGCCTAATCATAAATTCTGTAACTTTGTGTGTGCCTTCTGCTACCTCGTCCATTAGCATGTGTATTTCTCTTTGGTGCGTCGACCCTTTCATCTCCTCTGTCATTGCATCCGTATTCTGAGTTGCTTTCATCATCTCCCGTATTACTCCAAGAATACTTCTGAAGATTTACTTCTGTGATAGATCCATGTCTGAATCTTTATGAGCATCATTAACTCTGCTATTGTGTTTTATCTCTCTGGTTTTTTTTGGGTTTTTTTGAGAGTATACGGTCTGTTGATTTTTCCTTGATCCTTTTGTAGACCCCATGTTTCTGGGAGTCCAGGGGACCTTAGGTCTACTTCTGTGTTACTATTAAGGATTCTATCAGAGAACTGCCTGTGAGCGACTATAGACTTGGTAAAAACTGCCGTGTTCGTAGAGTTTCTCGAGGGTTAAATGGCCAACAATGGTGATAAGTTATAGTGACTGGAGTGGGGGCTGGAACCTCTATGTATGCCCTTGTGTGCTTTGACCTTCTCTGTCAGTGCACACTTAGCAGCTTTTTTTCCTGTTGAATTAAAAAAAAAGAAAAGAGTAAAAAAGGAAAAGAAGAAAAGAAGTGAAAAATGATGAAAGAAGTCCCCCCTTGCTCTCTCCAATTTTTAAAGGTACCTAATAAAAGGAGAAGGTAGGGGAGGCCTTGCTGCAATGGGAGGTGGTGCTGATGTAGGGCTCTGAAGCCAGGCTATGTGAGGAGAATGGGTGCTCTTCAGATCAAGCATGCACTCCCACGGATCCCAGCAGGCATGTAGTGTTTAGCCAGTAGTCAGAACCTGCGGCCGTCGGAAGTGCACCAGAGCAGTGAGCCTCCTGCGCCAGCTGGAAAACCTGGGGCAACAAGGGGCGCTGGAGTGGCAAAGACCAGCCCAGAAGTGGGTAGAAGTGGCTCCAGTGGAAAACACAAGGCCAAGGTGCTAGCTCCTGCGCCAGCAGCAACAGGCTGGGGTCAGGGAGGCGTTTGAGGCCACTGGTGCGGGGGACACCGCAGAGGTGTGGACTGACAAACGCAATATGTTCATGATCTTGATTAGAATCAAACTGAAGAACAAACCAGAAAATATGAAAATGGGGCTCTCAGTATTTCACCATTATGTAAAAACTTAGGATCTCAGTTATTCCATTTGTTATTTACTTCCATTTATCTTTAATGAATTTTAGCCATATTTCCAAAAATATTTTATTGATTCCACTTCTGCCTTTTTCATTTAATGTGGTGCTTAGAGAAACTGAAGGAAGAAAAGGTAGGCTTTTTGCTTCATTCAAAAACTATCATCAAAAAATGTCGGGCTATGGCCCTGTGTTTGTGAAACATATTTGTGTGGGGCTTTAATATAAAGGAAGCAAAATAAAAGAAAGGATTTCCTCATAGGCAAACTGATTTACTTGTAACTTTACTTCCTTTGTAAATTGCTTTTCTCTCTCTTTTTGTTACTTTTCAGAGAAATTGAGAGAAGAAATTGGTGAGTTCTTTTCATTTCCAGACACAATGTATTTGTAGGAGCTACTCTTCTAGATAATGTGAGGATGTATCTATCAATAACTTAACGTCATTGTTTCTTTGTACTTTATTCTCTTTGAACCTCATTGGCTTTGCTGGAAAAGTAAATATATACTTAAATATTTATTTTTTCATCTGAGGAAAAGAAGTGAAAAAGGCTTTCTTCTCGGTAGCAATGTACAATATGTAAATGAAGGGTGAAAAGTCCTGGCTTCAATAAAACTAGAGACTTGTTATTATGCAGTAAGATATTTTTTCCTGAATGCATTTGAAACTAGATGATATGAACACAGAAATCTTCAAAAATAATTCACGTCCTTCTTACATCTCAATAGTGTTATAAAAGATAAATAGAAATACTTTTTTTCCTGCATCAAATAGATACATATGATAGTAAATTTCAAAGTATAAGTAACAAAATTTATTAGACCGTATTATTTCATTGAATTCTATTATAAACAACATTTGATAGCAACATTATTTAATGAATCAATCATCATTTAAAGTTTACACTGTTTAAAAAAATAAAATATTATTTAATTTTCTCTGAGTGATGGGAGAGAGATGTAGGTGAGTTGCTTGTCTTCCTGCACATATAAAACCCAACTCAGTCAATTGGTCATATCACTCCATTTTTCCAAGACCAAAGCTAATGTCAAGGTAACTAACTTAAGCTTATATAGAACAATGTCATGATCATTAATGAAAACAATATGTTTTCACAAATATATATGTACATTCATAAAATGTTTTTATCAAGAGTGCCCAAATTTTTTTTAGCGATTATATACTTGAAACTATCATATGACTAAAGTGGGTAGGAGCTTCACTGGAGACAGACAATAAAAGGTGGCCAGCAAGAAATGACTCAGATTGTTTAATGGCAATGCAATTTGAAATTTCACAAGGAATAAAAAAGACAAGAAGTAGGCACAAAAGTTACTATGAAAAGTGAAAGATAATTTTGTAAAAATGCATACCGAGAAAAAAATACAGGCAAAATACCCAAAAAGTAGATACAGGAGTCTAATTAGCATGATTAACTAATGAGATTCTTTTGATCCTCATAACAATTGTGAGGATGACACAGAAATGGGCAGAGTTCTGTGCTGTTGTACACTGTGTTGCTATGAATGGGAACTGACTCGATGTCATCTAGCAACAAAACAATCCATAGCATGTTTGTTATGTGCCCACCTGGGAGAATTATTCAGATAGCCTTGATAGTAACTAGAGAATTCAACTTTCCCCTAATTTCTTCTTCCTCTTCGCCTGAAAGTGTCTTTAACTACCGTGAAATACACAAAACTGTTGTTCCATAGTCTCTCCTTTACCACATTAATTTGGACCTACCCCCCCTTGCCTTCCAGTCAATTCCAACCTCCCTGTCTTTAGATGCCACCCAGTCAGCTCTGACCCATAGTGCCCCTGTGGACGACAGAAGGACACTTTAAACATTCCTTAGTCACCCTGAGAAAAGTTCCTCTGCTTGGGACCATTGTTGCAGCTGCTGTGTCAATCCATCTCCTTGAGGGCTTTCCTCTTTTCCATTCCTCCTCTCCTTTAGCACGCATGATGTCCTTCTCCAGGGACTGGTCTCTCCTGACATGCCCAAAGCATCTAAGAGAAGTCTTGCCAACCTTGCCTCTAAAGAGCACTCTGGCCTTATAGTTAGGTTACTATCGAACAATTTATTATTTATTGTCCCTTCTGGCCCATTTTTAGCTTGCTCTAGTAGTTGCTATTTTCTAACTTTTGAGGTTTGATGTTTTCCTGTGTTTCATTTGTTGTTATCGTGTTTTTGTTTGATTTTGTTTATATAAAATCCAGGACACCTAAATATAAAGAGACAGTAACTATTTTAGTAGGTTTTTAGGGATATGGCAGGAAAAGGTGGAGGGCTGATAAGCTAGTAATAATGGATTCATGAATAAAAATGTTCTAAAATCAATTGTGTTGATGAATGCCTAACTGTTTTCAATATATATTAAACCACTGGATAGTATGGTATGTAAATCATATGGGAATAAAACTGTATTTTAAATGAGTCTCTCTTGCAGTTTAACAAATATGTCTGCACAGTTATCAATAATGTAGATTTAGTACATTTTTGAAATATAAGATCCTGGGAAATTTCTTATAAATTGAGAAACTCCACTGCATAGTTTTTTGCTATCATTAAATTGAATGGATAAAGCCTTTATTAAATATCTAATTCACTGCATTCATCAAATAAATTATAGCTGTTCATTCACAGAATATGCATAAGAAGACAATCTTGTGAATAACGATAATATTCTGCAATAGACCCTAAATAGCAACTACTGGGAATTTAATAATTGCCCTCATGAGATCAGATATATTTAATTCAAGAAATCATGTGTTTTCTTCTTTCCCTCTTTGTCCTAGAGCACATGAATCATCTAGAAAATCAATATGAGTTTGTTTTTTATCTTAATAACTGATCTCCTATCAATGTGCAGGAACACCCAACAAGTTTTTTCCCCCATGACATTAAAATGAGTTGTAAAATTTTTTTGTCAGGAAAACATCAATATAAAATAGGTAATTTTCCTCCCACAGTTAAAGTCTTTGAAAGGTCATAGAATTCTATGGGAATCTCTTCTTGGGTCACTTCATCTTTCCTACTGTACTCTATATTCTAGATACAATTGATTCTCTACATTGTCTGCATTTATTGTAGCTCTCCTGTTAGGAAAAAGTTCCCTGACCATCGTGATTATATGTTTAAAATAAAAATATGCTTAGAGAACATGTTATTGAACTTTATTTTATTCATGAGGAAGAATGTCAGAAGGCAGCCCTGGCTTGACTAATGTGATTGTAATGATTATAAAAAGCTGCAGACTAATACATGTCTTTGCTTCTGTGTCTTGGTCTCTTTGAGTGCCCCGACTTATGTGTGTATTTCCTTTCAGAGGAAAGGAAGACTAAATTCCTGAATAGTAAGTATGAATTATTTCAAAGATTACTTATTTCAAAGGACCAGATAGCAAATAGGAAGAGACAGATTATTTTCAGCCTTATTTCCCTGTGGGGGAAAAAACCAAATGTACTATTAGTTATGCTCCCTGTAAGGAGCCCTGGTGGTGTTTCATGCTCAGCTACTAACTAAAAGTTGGGCAAATTGGACCCCCCAACTTTCTCTGGGCACCGAGGGACAGTCAGCTTCCTTACTGGAGTGCAGTCTTAGAATCCCTTGGGGCAGTTCCACTCTGTCCTGCAGAGGTGCTTGGAGTTTAATGAACCCCATGATATGAGTTAAGATCACTTTATAGGAATGTAAATGGAAGAGAATCTGGAAAAGATATTGAACAAAATTTTTTTTTTAAATTTGGACAATCTTGCGCTGAAATAATCAAGAGAAAGAAATATTCCTATTTTAATATTTTATTACTTTTTGTCACCTTTTTTATTTCTCTTCTTTGCTGTTCCTCTTTGTCTTATTCTCTTTCACTTATTTGCCTGGTGACTCTATGTTTATTCCTACCTTTCCTCCCCCTTTAAAAATGTCCTCCCTCTTTTGGTCTTCATTTATGGATTCTTCCATCTTTCCTCACTTCCCTTTTGTTACTGTCCTTCTTTTTTTCTTTCCTCTCTGGTTGTAGTGTACTCTTTTCTTCTGGCTTCATCTTTTTACAGACTTACACACAGATTAATGGTATGTTATTAATTTGTCCACTTACAGACTGGCAGAATGCTTTCTTGTATCCTGGTAAGTGATATCTTTCTTTTGTATATTTTTGAATTATGAGTTCTTCTGTATAATTTTGTTTTCTTATTGATATTTTTCTTTATTGTCATTACACCCTTCCTTAATTCTTTAAACATATTATCACTGAGCTTTTTATACATACTTACTTTTTATACATACTTACTTATCCCAATTTCCTCTTAATTCCCTTATCCATAATTCCCAACATCTTCTTTTATCATTTTATTGGGGGCTCATACAACTCATCACAATCCATCCATCCATCCATCCATCCATCCATCCATTGTGTCAAGCACATTTGCACATTTGTTTCCATCATAATTTTCAAAACATTTTTTTCTACTTGAGCCCTTGGTATCAGCTTCTTATGTATCCCGCCCCTTCTCTACCCTCCCTTCCTCATGAACCCTTGATAATTTAAAATTATTATTATTTTTTCATATCTTACACTAGCCAATGTCTCCTGTCATCCACTTTTCTTTTGTCCACCCCCTTGGCAGGGTGTTATAGATAGATCCTTGTGATTGGTTCCCCCTTTTCTCCCCCCACCTTCCCCTTGCCCTCCTGGTATGGCTACTTTCAGTATTTATCCTGAGGGGTTTACCTGTCGTGGATTCCCTGTGTTTCCACATCTTATCAGTACCAGTGTACATGGTGTACATGCTCTGGTCTAGCCGCATTTATAAAGTAGAATTGGGGTCATGATAGTGGGAGTGGGAGCATTAAAGAACTAGAGGAAAGTTTTCTGTTTCATTGGTGTGGTGCTATACTGCACCCTGACTAGCTCATCTCCTGCCTGAGACCCTTCTCTTCTTTAAGGGGATGGCAGATTGCCTAGAGATGGGTTTTGGGTCTCCACACCCCACTGCCGCTCATTCACAATGATAGGTTTTTTTGTTCTGGGTCTTTGATTCTTGAAACCTGATCCCATCGACACCTCATGATCACACAGGCTGCTGTGCTTCTTTCATGTTGGTTTTGTTGTTTCTCATCTTGATGGCCGCTTGTTGATCTTCAAGTCTTTTAAACCCCAGATGCGATATCTGTGATAGCTGAGCACCATCAGCTTTTTTCACTACATTTGCTTATGCACCACTTTGTCTTCGTGATCATGCCAGGAAGGTGATCATCATGGAATCCCAGGTTGATAGAATAAAGTGTTCTTGCATTGAGGGAGTACTTGAGTAGAAGCCCAATGTCCATCTGCCACCTGAATACTAAACCTATAAATGTATGCATACATAGATCTATTTCCCCATCATCATACATAAATATATTTACATATGCACATTCCTATATTTAGACCTCTTTAAAAGCCCTGTGACTCCATGTTCTTTCCTCTATATCCTTTTACTTTCCTCTTATCCAACTATCATATTCAGTCTTCATTTGGGTTTCAGTGATTTCTCACAGTTACATTGAGCTTCATCAAGCCTACCAGGACTCCTACACCCTCCTTGCCATTGATTTTAGATCACTTGTTGTTCCCTTCCCCCTGGGTTTGTTAACACCCACTTCCTTTCCCCCACCTCCTCCTCTCCCATGTCCCCTCAGAAGTGAGGGTCCAGTTGTTTTCTCTTCCAGATTGTTTATCCAGAATATCTTATCTAGATAGACCTGCAGAGATAATAATATGCACAAAAATGAGACAGAGCAAAACAATGCAAAAAAGAAAACAAGACAACAACAAAAACCGACAAAAAATAGAAATTCCAACAATTGTTTTGCATATTTTTCATAATTCTTGTTTCTCTGAATATCTAAGCTTAATATGGAAACAGAACGTTATTGACAATATATTACAGCAGCCCTACAGTCTGCTTTTCACGGTGCCAAAATGTTTTTTCTGTACTCTCTTTTGTTTGTTTAATGACTTTCTTTAAATAACTCTGTAAAGTATGTTTTTATCCTCAGTGCACAAGATCATCAATAGGTTTATGAAAAACATAATCGAAAGATAATGAAATATTCCTATGAATTTTTTGAAGTCACTTTGTAAATGGTTGTAAAATGTCGGCTCAACATTTATTGAGAATGTGTATACATATAACTTGACTGTCTCTTCATTATACAAGCATCAGCACATCTTGGTAGTGACAATTAATAATTAGAGATTATAGTTAAAAACTTTGGACAAGTAAGACTTCCAACCTTAGTTGAAAATTCTTTTTTCTCTGTAACTCTTTCAAATTTCAGGCATTAATAATTCATTAAAAGCCTTTACCCGTTAACTTTGGCAGTTTCAGGGCTTCATGCACAACCTGAGATAATGGGGCTACTCAAAGATGGATGATAAGAGGAGGCGTCCTTGGGATAGCCCAAAGGACTATCATTATCTTTGAACCCTAATGGTGCTGCTAAAGGAGGAGCAGAGCGGAAAGGCTGCAATTCCAGACAGTGCCATCATGTGTGACTACCTTCTTCTCAGGATCATCAAACGTGAAACTGTGCACTGCACTCTGGGTTGTCAAAATTCAATCCTTGGAGAATAAAACTAGGAAGAGGAAGACCATTGTTGTTCTTCTTTCATGGGGAATAGTGAAATGACAGATTGTGGGAGTTTTCCATGCTTCCCGGGGAGCTTTTGAGGGAGAAGGGACAGCTAGTGGTGAAAATTTTCATGGTGTGTGCTTTCAGTTGTCTCTGACTAGTGAGCAATACAGCTGTGAGTCCTTCAACCTCCAAAGGAACAGAGATCCTCCCTATATAGGTGCCAAGAGATTGAAAAATTGACCTGGAGCTAATTTGATGACCTGGAGCCCTCAATTTATTATAATTGAGAATTTAAAGACAGGGATGCAGTACTGCTTTGTCCAATGAATCGTGGGCTGCAAAGAATAGTTTCTGCTGAGGTGGGTTACTCTGGGAGATCCCTTTTATACTTCCAGTGAGGTGGGTCTGGGGAAAGGGGCTGAAAATGCCTCCTATTGTCATCCATATTATGGTGCCAAACAAAAAATCTCACTGCCATGGAGTTGATTCTGACCCATAGGAACCCTATAAGACCTGGTAGAACTGCCCAGAGTGGGTTTCTGAGTCAGTCATTCTTTGTGGAAGTAGAAAGCCTCATCTTTATCCTACTGAGAAGTTGGTGGCTTTGAACAGTTGTCCTTTTGATTAGCAGCCCAACCTAAACCATTACTCAAGCAGGGAAAATTAATGTAAAACTCACTTACCTGACCCTCAGATAAGGGGAATGACCAAGGAACATTCACAATGCTTCGGGCTTTGCTGTGCACCTTGGATATCGGGAAAAGTTTCCTCTAGGTGGTCCAAGAGACACAGGAAATGCTTGGCTGGCTGCAGTGGACGTGTTTGGGACATTAACTTATGTCCCTACAACTGTGTACATGTGTGTAAGATATGATCAGACTAAATAGATAAAACACCCATGACTCCTGGGTGGAAATTTCATCCCAGTACTGTGGTGGTTGCTTGGAATGAAGAAAAAGATGCTAAGGCAACTTCTGTGTTCAACACAATAGACATTTTCTTCAGTATATGTGCCGTTTTATACACATATGCACCCTTCCATATGGTCAGCGGTATATGAATGATCAGGATTCATTCTAGCTGTCTTGTTCCATGGACCTTCTCAGAATGTCTGTTGGTAATTATTGCTCCTGACCATTTATATAGGGCTGCGTTTTCAGTGCATGGACTCCAGATCTGATCAGCTAAGTTACTGGGCCTCATTGCGTACCCAACCTGTTTAAATTCCAGCATCGCAAATTGAAGGATGGGTGAGGGGAGCATCTCTGAACTAAAATACTAGTTTAAAGAACATTTTTCTTTACTGAGGCTCATGCTTTTCACCTTTACTAACTTTTATGTTTTCAAAGTAATTGTGTTTTGTAAAATTTCCCCCTTTTATTGTTACTTTTTGAAAAGTAGATTTGATCATTTCAAGTCTCTGTCATTCCAGAAGTGTCTCTCCTGCAATTTTCACAATCTTTTTTTCTAAATCAAGAAACGTCTCTAATATTTCCTTTCAGTTACTATTATGTCTCAATAACTACATCAGAAGATTACTTTAATATTTTTATCTGATTTGTTTATATGCTTCTATATTTCTCTTAATGATTGCTGTACTGAAACAAACTGGAGAAAGTGTGAAATATGCTTATATATTTATCTTAATGATTGCTATAGTGAAGCTAACTAGGGAAAGTGTGAACTTCAATCATAGTCTGTTTTATTTTCCCTAACTCATTTTGAAATATGTACTATTTGTTTTTACTAAGAAGATACTTTTAAATTTTCACTCTTATTTTGGGAGCTCTAGAAGAATATATTTCTGTAAAGAGTCAGAATACACATTTTAGGAATTATGGCATTTATGGTCACTACCGAAACTATTCAAATTTACCCTCATACAATAGACAATATAAAAATGAATTAATAATGGTATGTTCACAAATAAGTTTATTTAGAGAAATAGAGTGAGCTGATTTATGTCCAGGATCCACAGCTTGTATTGCTCTTCTATGCCAAAGCAATCATCCTTTTTAACAAGTGCTATTTCCCCATTTCTGGAATCTTTCATTTCACTTCCATGAAAACAGGGAGTTAATTATATCCTAAAAGTAGTTTAGGAATTGTTTTTCAACAGCCTGTCAATGAATGCTTTCTTTTTAAATAATTCCTTCAGATTTACAGTCACTTTAAATTCATAACATGGTTTCAAAATAGGACAGGTAATAATTTTGGCACATTAAAAAAATCATGGCGCATCCTGCTCTTATTTTTGTTGTTGTTGTTGTTATGTGTCACTGAGTAGGTTCTGACTCATAGTGTGCCCCTTTACAGCAGAACGCAATACTGCCTTTTCCTGTAATAACCTCACGATTGTTCGTTGAGCCCATTGACATAGCCACTGTGTCAATCCATCTTGTAGAAGGTCGTCCTCTTTTCCCAGTCCTGCTACTATGCCAACCATGAAGGATGTCTTTCTCCAGGGACCTCTTTCTTCTGAAAACATGCCCAAAGTGCGTGAGACAAAGTGTCAGCATACGCTAAGAAACACTCTGACTACTTTCAACATTCTTCACCTACATCATAATTCAAATATATTGATCCTTCATTCATCTTCCTTATTCAATATTCAACTTTCATGTGCCTAGGAGACCATTAAAATACAATGGTTTGAATCAGGCAAGAGAACACATTTGATAACGTCAATATTTTCTTTGTTCATTCTGAAGTTAGCTACTGGTCCAGGTGTGAGGATGTGGGTTTTCTTTCATTGAGTTGTAGTCCATACTGAAGGCTGCAATCCTTCATCTTCCTCAGCAAGTGCTTCACGTTCTCCTCACTTGCAGCAAGCAAGGCGGTGTCATCTGCCTATGCAGGTTGTTAATAAACTTTCCCCCAATCCACATGCAGGACCAGGCTTGTTAAAGAGGTTCATAGTGTCGGCTGGGTTCTCAAATCACACCTGTCCCCTCTGAGTTGCTTTTTTCTCCCTAACTATGTAGTGTTTAAGGGAAGAAATAAATGAGATGTGGATCAAGAGTATTAGCAGAAAAATGATCATATTTAACATAAGAGACTTTAGCTAGCTGAGCGATTCTGAGAAATCCCTATTCAAGTATAGGTAAACGTCTTAAGTATAAATTTGACCAGCGAGTTCCGTGTCTCTGAAAGGTTCCATAATTAGAAAGAAACACCAAAAACAGGATAATAACTCAATGTGTGTTTTTCATGTGTTTTATTTCCAGGTTTATGAAAATCAAACACTTATTTTAATTGTATATTTGTATTATTTTTTAAAAACAGCACTTTAAATGTTAAAACAAACGAACAAATTTGGCTGGCAACTCTTCTGAGAGGTTCCAAAAAGGTGATACCTCTGTTAGCAGCTTCTCAATTTTAAGTATTTTCTTCCGATCTTATAAATTTGGGGAGGGAAGTGAGTTGTATAAAATGAATGAGAATATAAGAAGAAGTGAAGGGACTGGGCAAATGAACGTTTTATTTCCAATCTAGCATTGATTTGTGATTTGATTTGCTGCTCTCTGTTAAATTGTCTCCCTTGAGACAATTTGTTTGTTGTTCAAAATGAAGCTATATTCATGTTGCTAAAACTTTCTGTACACCAATAGGGTATCCCACATAAAATACTGTGTTAGACAGGGTTCTCTGGAGAAACAAAACCAATAAATAAACAAATATATATATATATATATATTATACAGATGGATAGATGGATAACATATGAAATAAAGAGTTAATTAAATTATAAAGCAGTACAAATGGCTCAGCGCAACTCCTGTGAGACAGTTGTGAGACCCTGGGAGTCCTTCGAGTCTTGAGGGTCACCGGGTAGTTCTCTGAAAAGCAATTCAGGCTATCCAAGCACAGGAGCAAACAGCAAGCCAGGTCACCAATAGTCAGTTAGATGACAGGTTCCGGCACGCTCCAGCTCAAGAGATGTAAATTCCAATGGTGTGGCGAAGCAGGTCTTGAAGGAACCTCAAATTACTGGGACACAATCTACAGGTTAGGTGTCCCACAGGTAGTGTAGCTTTCAAATTGAGGCAAAGCACACTGGTCCGATGATCAAAGAGCAAGAGACAAAAAAGGCAGGGCTCACCGAGCCATTTATCCTTCCACCCTTCAATTAATCCCACATATGTTTATCAGCCAGGTTGGCATAACAAACTAACGACCACAAGTATAAAATATATGAATTAATGTTTTATGATACCGTTAATTCATTAAGAAATTCAGTAGAAAATTTATTGAAGGCAAAAATTATCAAATCAATTTGGAACATCAGCAAAAAGAAGTAATTGGAAAAGTAAAAATATTTTTGACAGAAAATGGGAATACTAGGTCTATTAATGCATATTATTGGTTTTTGCTTTATTTCATTTTTTTTCAGACTGGAGGAAAGAAATTTTTCAGCCAGGTAAGTCATTGCTTGATGGTTTAGGAAGGAATTTACTTTTTAAACTCATTCTCAGTCTCAGAGGAAGGTGTTGGAGGAGGGCAGATGCATTATCTTCCTGTTTGCTTCTGTACAAAATTATCACAGATTTCATAACTTAAGGAGCAAAACCTGATCCCTTTTACAATTCTGGAGGCCACAAGTATAAAAATAGTGGACTGGCAGGCCTGAGGTCTTTCTGAAGGCTTTAAAGGAGTTCTGTTGCATTGATTTTTTAACCTGGAGGCGGCCTTCATTTATTACCTTGTGGCTCATTTCCTGTAATCTTCAAAGACCATCAGTACCACCTCCAGTTGCTGTCACATCTCTATTTTCTGACAATTATGCTCCTGCCTCTCTAACATAAAGCCCCTTATTATATTAAAACTAATGGGTTGGCCCAGGAGGTAACCGCTACCTTTAAAGATTTTCCCCCCTTATTTGCATATTAAATGTACTTTTTACAAATGTAATATAACACATTTACATATTCTGGAGATTTGAATGTGGACATCTTTGAAGACACATTAGAGTATCAGAGCGGGAAAAATAGTTGATAATAATCTTTGTTTGCAAGACATTCTAATTCTATTCTTTCAAGGGATTAAAAATCTTATTATCTTTGCAGGGGAGGTGCTTCTGGATGCAGACACAGCCCACTGTAACCTCATCTTGTCTGAGGACAGAAGATGTGTCACCTGGGGAGAGAACCCTCAAGAACTACCTGATAATCCACAGAGATTTCATTCCCTTCCCTGTGTGTTGGGTCAACAGCACTTCACCTCAGGGAGGCACTACTGGGAGGTGGAGGTTGATGAGAGTCGAGCCTGGGACCTGGGGCTTTGTAGGGATAAAATAATGAGACAGGGCAGGGTTGTCATTAAACCCGAGGATGGTTTTTGGGTCATCAGGTTTTATAAGGATGAGTACTGGGCACTCACCGCTCCAGAAACAAAGCTTACTCTAAGAAACCGTACTACCAGGGTGTGCATTTTCCTAGAATATGAGCGTGGATGTATCTCATTCTACGATATGACAGATCATTCCCACATTCACACCTTTTCTCAGTGTTCCTTCTCTGGATCTCTAAGACCGCTCTTCAGGCTTTGGTCCAGTGATTCAGGGCAGCTGAGAATCTGTCCAGTGCACATCAACACAAATTGATGATCTCCCTGACCAGCTGCCCATCCTTGTGTATGGGGACATTTACAGCACTGGCTAGTTAATGAATAGTGAAACTTGTAGTGATGATGTTAATCTTCTTACATCAGAAGCAAATTATTTGCCTTATCATTGTATTTTTGTATCATTTTATCTTCTTCATCCTTTGCTCCCACAATTAATGTGTACTGTGTAAAAGTAAGCACTACTTATGTCATATTTAGTTGCTTAATGTTCACATAAACATCAATATCTACCAGAGAAAAACGAGGTTTTCTGTTCCTGTAAAGATGTACAGCTTTGAAATCCCAGGAGCGGTCTACTCTTCAATATAATGTCATTCTGAATCAGAATTAATTGATGGCAGTGGGTTTCATTTTAATTGCTTTCAAATTTATATATAAGTAGATAATGCATTCATATCTGTTAAAACATTTATAGCAAACTCATGGTAAAAACATGTGATATACTAGAGTTTATGATTGCATGAGGGTGCTGAAATTTCTTGAATATGGAGCCCTAGTAGGTGTTGGGTAAGTGTCTGCCTGACAATCACAAGGTTGGGGCAAACTTACCAGCCACTCATCAGGGAAAACATGAAGCTGTATGTTCTGGTAAATATTTTTAGCCTTGGAATCCCTATTTAGGGTCTATGAGATAGTATTGAATCCATGGAAGTGATTTTTTTGGGGATGGAGCATGCTAGTTAAGAGTAGAAAAAAAGAAAAATTATCTTTTTATTTTATAGCCTTTGTTTTCTAAATCTATATTTATGGTGTTTTGTGCTTTATTACAAAATAATGTTTGTTTATATGTTTAAATAATTACACTTTTCTCTGATATCTATGCCAGTTTGAAAATCAGGAGAAGGAAAATATTGTTTATAAGTTTATCCTTCAGCTTCCTTCATGTGGCCTCATTATATTTCATCCTTAATTCTTGTCCGTTTGGCCTTTCCATTTTCTCTTGAGAAAATAATTCATTCCTGTCTTTTCTTACTTAATCGAATGATCAGTTTGAAAATGTCCATACAGTTAACATAATGTTTTGTATGCTTCTATGAATTTTAAGACATGTACAGATTCATAACTTCCACTATTTCAGAATGATAAATCTCATTATACCTGTAAACCCCCCAATGTAATCCCACATAGTTTTATTAGCACTTCTATTCTGAGTATTAGGTTTTCAAAGGGTTACAGAGAACAGCGAAAGTCAACAATGAAACATTTTTTAAAAAATTTAAGTTCTAACATGCCCTGACGACCCTGACTTGAAGGACCTAAATAAATTTGCAATCTCCTCAGTATATCATAAATTACGATTCCCAATCCTGGACCCACCCCATTTCTGTAGTCCAGTCTGTAACTGCGATGCACTGAACTTCCACCAATCACGTTTTAGATAGTTTCTTTTGTACTCTCACTCCCTGTTAAGCCTCCAAATCTCAGCAAGCCATTGGATGCCATCTTGATCTCACGACAATGTTCTCACCCATCCTGATGATATAATTTTATCTTTGTGAGGTCACTGCCTTGTATAAGACAAATTAAAGTTCTACTTAAATTATATTTGAAATGTGAATCATTTGTACCCTAAAACATAAGCAAGCCCCCTAGCAGTTCATTAACTTTTGAAAATCTGCTAAGTGAGTTTTCTAGGGTTTTATGTTTTCCAGAACTGTCAAATAAATAGAATCAAGCAATTTGGAACATGCTGAGATTAGCTTTCTTCACACAGCAGACAGACATGTTAAAATGCATGTTAACAGTTAATTCTCCAATTCCCTCCCCCTGAGTATTATCATATGGAATGGATATAGCTAGTGATGAAGAAATTGAAGAATATTACCAACTGAATCATCGTGAAATGGATCAGAATGCATGGATATCTGTCAGTGATTAGAACCTGAAAGCTGGAATCAAGAGCAGAGAAAACTCGTTGAAAAATATGACGACGGTGACAGAAACAAAGCTAGAGACTCACGATAGGATTTTACAAAACCAATGACTTCTTTATGACAAATACTTAAAAATAAACATAAATATCTACTGTGCACATGGACCTAATGAGATGTAATACACAGGAATCAAATTGACTAACTCAGATGGGATAGGAAGCAGAGAGTGGCCGCACCAGACCTTTGGAAATGGTCATCATTGGACCTTGGGGGAACCCCGGTTTTGTGGGTGTCCAGTGGAAAGGGACCCAGGTCACCATATTTTCAGTACCTTGAGACTTCCTTGGAGCCGCATGACATGTCTTGATCTGTTGGGCAGGGATATGAACTTGGAAGAACTGATTCAGGAAATTTCCTTTTGGCACCAGGGAACTTGCTTAGGGTAAACAGACCTCACTCAACCCAATAGGAGATGGCCCTGTGTGGAACAACAACTCATGTTTTGCAGCTCATGGAAGGATCGAACCTGCATAGACTCCTCACCCAACAGTGTCCAGAGTGATGTGTCAGTGGACACATTGGAGTGATGGGTCATCAAGTTGCTTTTGCTTCATAAATGTTACTCTTATATTTCAACCTGGTGGGTATAGTGGACTTCCATTTTGTGATTATCATGTTTTACTTAACAGGTTTTCATTTAAATTACTTTTATTTTTGACCTGTTTTTTTTTAATCTAGCCACTCACCTATAAGCTTAATTCAGATCATCAGTAATGTGACAATTTGACATTATATCTGAAGATTATTAAACTTAAGATGCATTATTATGCTTCAGATATTTTACATATAACATTCCTTATAACTTTTAATTAACTTTATTTGGTTTTACATTGGATCCAAAATTCCCACCAAGTTTTCGTTTTAAAATACTTTTATGAATTAACTATGGATATGTCAGGTTTTATCATCTATCAGTCATCTCTTGCTTGGTGGACCTGATTAAATACCTAAGCACCTCCAACAAGGACACCCAAAAAGGACTATGGTGAACTTATAAAGGGACCTATAGTAGTCCATGGAGCTTCTATTCCATCATGTGACGTAATACAATTATGGAAGCCCAGGGTGTAGTGCTGCCCTGTCCTGCGGGGGAAGCTGAGTTGCAACTGTGTTGATGGCACAGGGACGAGAGAGAGATTGAAAAGATCACCAATACCTTAAATGCATGCTATTGGATAGATCAATGATACTGTTATTATTAGGATTCTCTAATGCCACTCTCAGGTTGCTTTTAATATTATCGCTCCAGAAGCTAGTAAGCTGGTGGACACGAGATGTAAAAGTTATACACACATGACAATATTTTAACTTGCCCTGTAACACAGCTATAGAGGAATATGGCAGAATGGCAGGAGACAAGATCAACAAACAGAAGTCGATTGGACTGCTATATACAGAAGAGGAGATCAAAAAGTAGTACCTTCACAATAACCAAGCACAAATTGAAATTTCTAGAGATATACCTAACCAAAAAAATCAAAAGATTTGTATGAGGAAAACTACAGAGCACTATTAGAATAAACCAAGAGTGACCTTTGCAAATGAAAGTATATCCCGTGCTTGTGGATTAGAAGACTTATTATAGTGAAGATGTCAGTCCTACCCAAGGCCATTCCAATACAAATACCAACATCTTTTTTCAAATGATTGTAAAAACTGACTACCAATCATATGGAGACAGAAGAAGCCCAGAATTAGGAGAGAACTTCTCAACAAGATAGACAAAGTTGGAGGGCTGTCTTTACCTGACTTTAGCACCTATTATACAACCACAGTGGTCAAAACAGTGTGGTACTGATATAATGACAGATACTCCGACCAATGGATGAGAACTGAAAACACAGAAATGAAATCATCAGTATACAGACAACTGATCTTTGACAATGGCCCAAATAATTTCAAATGGGAAGGGGATACCCTCTTAAATAAGTGGTGCTGAAACAAAAGAATATCTACTGCAAGAAAATGAAGCGAGACCCTTACCTCACCCCATGCACAAAAATAAACTCAAGGTGGATCATAGATATTGAGATAAAACCCCAAAGTATTAGGACTAATAATGAGGGAATTTGGACAAACCTAAGAACTTTGGCATAGGGAATACATAGGCTATCATAATTAGGGAAGGATATAAACACAGAGGAAGCACAAATCCACAAGTGGGATATAATGAAGATAAAACACCTGCAGACATCGAAAGTCTTTTCCAGGAGAGTAATAAGAGTCCCCACAGACTGAGAAAACATATTTAGCAATCACACACCAGAAAAAGGCCTTTTCACTAAAGTCTACAATACTCTGCCAGCCTACAATAAGAAAAAAACAAATGGCCCAGTGAGGAGGTGGGCAAAGACCTGGACAGAAGTTTCAGAAGTTCCAAAATCCAAATGGCCAATAAACACCTGACAAAATGTTCCCAATCATTAGCCATAGGGAAATGCAAATTAAACCAACTATGAGATATCACCTAGTACCCTCAAAGATAGCCCAATTAAAAAATCAGAAATCAACAACTGTTGGAGGGGGTGTGGTGAGATAGGAACTCTGATCCACTGCTGGTGGACCTGTAGGTATGTGCAGCCACTATGGAAATACATTTGGTGACACATAAAACAAATAGAAACTGAGCTCCCTATGCCTCAGCGATCCCCCTACTGGGCATATACCCAGAAAATGTAAGAAACAGACCATGGCCAGACATCTGCACTCCAGTGTTCATTGTGGCGCGGTTCACAATCACAAAGAGTTGGAAACAAGCTAAATTTCCATTAACAGATGAGTGGATTAAAAAACTCTGGTACATACATACAATGGAGTACTATGCATCCTTCAAAAAGCAGTAATGAACACCTGAAACACATTGTTGCATAGGAAGAGTTGAAGGAAATTATGCTAAGCGAAGTAAGCCAAGCACAAAAGGACAAGTACTATATGAGTCCACTGAGGTTAGCTTAAAAAGCACCAGGGGTAGAGGAGAAAAGCCACTAAATACATAATTTCTCGAGTTATCTGGACAGGGGTATGACCCAACCCAGGGATGGATATGGCAGTCAACAAATAAGGAGTGGGGGAAAAAGAGGATGCGGATAGTGGGGGAATAGGCACTTACCACCCATGGGGAAAAGTATTGTTTATGTTTCTACAGGCGAGGGAGAGAGGGTCCAGACCTCAACCGGGTGTACCAAGTTTTGAGGGCAACATATTGGAATGAAGCAGCTCACTAACAGAGAGGTCTCCAGAGTGGCCCCTATCCAAGCTATGTCGACCCTGCCCAGAAGAAAGCACTGGGGAGCGAAAGATACAGCCTGGGGAGAGTGGTGAGTCTGCGCATACCACACAGCATCAAACTAAGAGGGAAACAGAGTGTGTGGACTGAATCCTGGCCCTCCAAACCTCAGGGATGCTTTTCCTGCTTGGAGCAGTCAATACACAGAGAGGACCATAGGACCAGCTCCACCTGAGACACAAGGTCCCCTCACTGACCCACTGTGCTATGGGAGACAGCACTAGAATCAAAGTGCAGGAATCGGGCCTGGTGTGACCCCTCCCCACACCAGGCATAATGTGAAGGGAGCGCCACAAAGCAGCAATGGTAGCAAAGCAACAAAGTCCTCAAGGAATCCCGAAAATCAACTTAGGAGTTAGGGGGCAGGGCTTGGCAACTCATCAGACCTAATCAGAAAACATTCATAAAGGTCAGCAGACAGTCTGGAACGATTTATTCGCTCTTTCTTTTTCCTTGTTTTC